ATACATATAGTTACTTTTTCACTCGGTAACGAGTAACGAGATAATAAGTTATTTTTAAAAATTAACTTTTCTCATTCCTTGTGTGGAGATAAGCAGAACTTGTTGCAAGAAAGGTATGTGTAATATAGTAGAGATCGGTGCTTTTTGGAAAAAATTAAAAAATGCAAAATTCTTGTGTTATAAGTGATTTCAACGTTAAATTTGATTAACTTAATTGATTAATTTAATCGGTAAAATCCCAAATAGAATAACAAGTCATAGCAACATCAATTATAATAAAATGAAGTTAAATTGATGTTAAAATAAATCATAAATGACATTTTGAAGTCATTTTGATATTATAATGACTTGTTGTTCTGCTTGGGATTGTACAAAACAGAATTTTTAATATAATTCTGTAATCTAATCTCTTTTATGTAGCAACAAAAAAAAATTAATTTAATACAAAATCATATTCTTAATAAAAAATAAATACAAGCATCATTCAATAAATTAATCGTCGATAAATTAATCAAAGTTTGTGATTAAAGTAGATTTACCGTCATTGTTATAAGCAACTCAACAAACGAGAATGGATTAAAATTTTTCCCGATTTTTGCGTATTTTATATATATAAATAACAAATACTTTTTTTGGATTTAATTGGATTCAATTGAATTCAATTAGAAAAACTGCATTTCCTATTCAAAATTGAATATAATAGTATTCACAATGTATTATGTGTGCACAGAAAAAGCTAATATTATTTTTAGATTGAAAGACATAGAGATGCTCCATGCAATTCTTATAAATGAATAAAAATTCATTCAGGATTGAAAAGCATTCATTTTAACATTCGTGAATCAATATTTCTGAAAATGAAATGAATGAAGTGAATCCATTTCAATTCATTTCAATCTCGTTTGCTGGGAAGTAGTGCCCTCTACAAAAAACGTAAAATCTCTGGTGAGCGCAATACATGTAGGTAAAACAAAAAGTGTACCACACATATATATTATCATAATATTATAGAATTCTGTGAGAGTATAACTGTTAGTTGATAATTGATCTAATTGTAGAAAAGCATAAAAGAATAAATTAAACTATTAGAATGAATGAAGCTCATGATGGTATAATACAATAATTCATAACAATACAGACACATATACAGGGTGTCTCATTTTAATTAAAACAGCTAATTTTTGGAAATCACGAGATTTGAGGAAAAAAATATTTCATACAAAAGTTGTAAGATTCAAAGCAACCTTGACCTGACTTAAGGTTACTTTGAATTTTTTAAATGGAACCCCCTATTTTTAATTACATATTCGTGTAGCTTATTTCAAATACTCTTCATTATAATGAAATGTTTTTCCATTAATTATTTTTTGAGTTATAAAGCTTGAAAGTTATAATACCGTCGGTATTAATTACACGTATTATGCAAGGTGTCCAACCGACGCGACGGCTAAAACTTCTTGAATATTATTCAAGATCATAACCTGGATAACATTTGTTAAAATCAAAGTTATTGTTCCTCTTATTTTCATTTTTACATTAAACATTTATTTTTACATAAAAATAAAAATAAGATGAAGTACAACCTTTAATATGAAAAATTTAATTATTGCAAAATTGCAAACAATATTATGAATATTACTATGTTATTTAAAGAAGGCACTTTCTAGTTTATATTTATATTTCTAAAATTTTATTTTCAGCTTTTGTTTAAAAAATATCGTCCAAATTAAAGTGATATAATGGCATCGATCACTTTCCTTTAATAATTATCTATATAATGAAATACTTTTATTGTCTACAATTGTTATACATTATTTTTATAGTATAAAGTATTGTTAGTTTTACGTTGATGCAATATATGATATATGATATTTATCATGCATCACATTATTATTTAATAAATTGATTAATATTTTTACTGAAGAATTCAATTAGCAAAGACGTATTTTTTTAAACATTTTCAGAAATATTTTTAGCAATATTTGAAAAATATTTAAAACCTGAAACTAATAAATCTAATAATATTTTGTAAAATATTTTAATCTCGCAAAATAATAGAATTGTAAGGATTACGTATTTGAATTATTTTCAGTAAATATATGTATGCGTACATAATGAGGCACGCTCGTTTGACAATCCTAATAGTCTTTAGATTATAACAGATAGTTTCCACAACTAATTTGAATAATTTTTCATAAATTTATTACTTTTGAGTTTCATTTTTGAAATTTACTATTATCATTTTTGAAATTTATTATTAAATGGATTCTTCATAATTTTAATATTTTATATATAAAATTATTAATGAAATCTTAATGAAGTAATACTGAAGTGTGTTAATTGATACAGATTTTAATATGCAATTCAGTAATATTTTGTTATTATTCATTACAATTTCAGTAAAAAATTTCCATTAAGATTCTCTCACAAATATAAACTAGTAAAGAGAGGAGGAGTCAATTACTGATATAT